GATGGCGGGGCGCGGGGGAACGGCGGGGCTGGCGGGGGCGGCGGAGGCGGTGAGGGAGATCCCGGAACCCCCGGGCCGGCGGGCGGGCGGTCACATCCCCTTCCGGCCCCTCCTCCTCCGCCGCCCCCGCCTCCCGCCCGGCAGCGCCCGATCCCGGCGCCGGCCCCGAGCCTGGGGCCGCGGGGCAGCGAGGGGGCTGCCCGGGGAAGAGCCCCTGAGGAGGGGGCCGGCAGGGCAAGGAGGGGGTTTGGTCTCCCCTGTGCTCGGCCCTGGGGTGTCGTGCCCGGTTCTGGGTCCTCAGGGCAAGGGGCGGCTGGAACGGGTCCAACGGAGGCCGCACAGATGAGGAGGGGTCTGGAACATCCCTCCGAAGAGGAGAAGGCTGCGGAGACGGGCCTGCTTAGTCTGGAGAAGAGAAGACTGAGAGGGGAATCTCATTAATTGTCCTCATCCAAGAAAATGGTGCCAGACTCTTTCCAGCAGTGTCCAGCGACAGGACAAGGAGCAGTGGCCATAAACTAAAACACAAGGAGTTTCACCTCAACATAAGGAAGAACTTCTTTCTATAGAGTACTGGAACAGGTGCCCAGGAAGGTTGCGGAGTCTTCCTCTCCAGTAACATTCCAAACCCACCTGGATGCATTCCTGTGTCACCTGCTCCATGTGACCCTGCCTGGGCAGGGGGTTTGGACTGGATGATCTCCAGAGGCCCCTTCCAACAATTAACAACTCTCTGATTCTTTGGACAAAACCCTGAGGGGAATGAGGGACCAAGCAGGACTGGGGGTCTGTGAGAAGGGGGGGAGGGTGAAGGGAAGGGTGAGGTGAGCTTCTTTATTAGTGCTGTCAGAGCATATGTACATCTCGATACCAAAACCAGCCATAGAGGCCATATGAATGTGGCAGTAAAACATGTATTTTGTGCACCATTTAGTACCAACATGGAGTTAAACCCCCACATTTTTTCAGCCTGCACTGGGGTGCCCTTGGATGTGCAGCGTGAGTGTTCCCTGGAGCTAAAGGGCAATGTTGCTGAAGATATTTAGTTTCTCGTACATTCTCCAATTCACCTTGGGAATAGAAGAGGGTTGAAGCAGCAGCTTGAGGTCAGGGTGCTTCGGTCAAAGGTCTGTGGTTGCTCCCACCCGACAACAGAAGAACACACAATTGCAATTCTGTGCTGTAGCCTCCTGCTCAGGGTAACCATCTGGACACAGAGCAGCTTGTTTATACTGACTCCTCCCTTGTGACAAATCCAAACACACTCCTTGTCTCCTACACCGTATTCAAGGTCCCTGGCAGGCATGTATTTTTCATCTCCTCACAATAGCATCCAAAATGTAGCACTTCATATGGCCCTACAGGATCCTCCACCACTGCTGTGCCTGTCTGCTTCTACATCACTAATTCTTAGGCAGAAGACTGATCCCAAACCATTCCTGTTGGATTTCTCCATCAGCAGCTCAAATTGCAGGTACTGAGGCTGTTTGTGCTGCACACACACAGGAGAGAATAATTCTGGCACATCGTGCTGAGACAAATCCAGGGTCACATCTCTTGAACTCAGCAGAATTTCTCCAGGTTTATCTCAGTAATGGAGATCAGCTTCTCACCGGGGTGATGTGACCCTCTGCTCAGCTCCCATGGATTGAAAGGAAAGTGAGGAAACAAAGCTGTCTGTCAACATGGGCTGAGCAGCAAAACCCAATACCAACCATTCACTGAAAAAGTTATTCCCTTCTGGGTCTGACTGGAGCACTCTGGATAACATCTCCTGCCATGGCAGGACTGAAGCAGAGTGAACTCCAGAAGACAACCATTAATTTCTCCAAAAGCATTTCCCATTTCCCCAAGCAGTGCTGTAGTTAATCTGGGACTATACACAGGCAGATGGGCCAGCTGGTCACTCCCAAATGTCATAGCAAGATACCTGCCTTCTTTTCCTTCCTGAAGGGTATTACGTTTTTTGTCCCCTACCCTGCTGCCAGTTTTTGTGAACATGATTGTCTCATGTTAACAAACTTGGAAGTCGCCCCACGGATTCAGAAAATGTGAGAGAAGACAGAGACAGAAAGATTGTGTGAATGCAAAATAAATGAAAAATGCTACAGACTGTTTCTTTCAATCAAGCCTGAGTACATCCTATGGATTTATCCTTTCATAAGAGGTATTTCAGTACTTTTTCTGTTTACCTTTCATTAAGTGTGGGTTCTTACACCCGACAGCTGCAGAGACGTTTCCTCCATAACAATATCTTAAAAGCTTCAACCTCTTCACCAAATAATAAAACTTAGCATATTAATTAGCAGTCCTCAGGAACCCCAGACAATCATTTCAAGATGCCTCTAATCTCAGTGGGGTTTCAGTCTCTTCTCGGGTCTGCTCAAAGCTTTGTATTTATACCGTTCACCTCAGCTGAACAGCAAAACTGCACGCGGATCACACAGAAGTAACACAGTAAGAAGCAGTAATTGGATTAATAACCCATTAGCACAAATTCAAAATCCCAGTGGTTATTCCTTGGAGTAGAAGGGAGGGGTTGCCATGCTTCATATTAGAACATGAATTAAGCGCTGGGCACCAAGAAACAAGAAAATTATTCCTGCAGACAGGCGATGCTGTGTTGTCCTTCCCGCAGGCAGCACTCACTCGCAAGAGAACCAGTTGGTAACTCCACTTTTGAGCACGTCTGCACCGTGTATTTAACCCTGGAGGAAGCAGCACAGGCAGGTGCTATGGTTGGTTTACAGGCTCCACGCCTGTCAGACACTGGTGACCAAAGAAACCAGGTTGATCTGTTTTAAAGCCTCCATGGGCATTTTAGTTCCCCATACGAAAATGAACCCTTAGTAGGTTTTTCCCACCCTGCTTTCAACTGCTTCTTTCTTAAACCAGAGAAGCCGTAGTTTCCTCCTTTTCACCCTCCCTGCTTAGAAGTTGCCCAGCAAAATCTCACAGACTATTTCAAGAATTCAAGAGGACACTGCTGTTGCTGGCTTCTTGTTACCTGCTGGCTTGCAAAGCTGGGCTGGAGGGGGTTGCAGGGACTGCCAGCAGTGACCTTGCTGAAGCCTTGAAGAATTTAGGTCTGGCCTTGGCACAGCACTCGGCTGAGTTTGGAAGGATCAGTAATTACCCCTCAAAGTCATGGGGGAAAATTCTGAGACCTTCAGTTCCACCCCCATCAGGAAAGATCCATAACCAAACCTCACCAGCTGGTGGTCTTCTTAGGCATAAAAACAAAAGTACCAGAACAACTCAGCTGTGCTGCCCACGCAGCCTGACACGGACACCAGCACCCTGTTCCCAGGATCAGTGTATGAGAAGCTGGCACTGTCTCACCTTGCAGGTCAGACAGCTTGCACCTTGATCCCACATGAGCATAATCCACCCCTAAATGAACCACCTCCAGAGCACAGTGTCCACCACATCACCAGCAGCACTTTCAAAAGTATCATAACCCCTTCCAGCCCCTTTCTGCCCTTTAGATGCCTGCAGAGAGGTTGCTTGAGGACAGAGGAGCATTTTGTATTCATGTACCTGTTCAGCAGAACCGTTTCCAGGTATCAAATCTCTCTAGGTGGTAATGAAGTACAGTCTCTTCACCCCTTTGTCCTTTAACTGACACAGAGTTGTTTCAATTTAAGTGGCAGAGATGCAAAGAGATTTACTGGATTAACTACAGCCCTCTCCATCAGCCTTCAGCAACGCACATTAAGCATCACATTGCTTGTGTATCCACAACCTGCTTACACCTAGAACCCTCACAGCAGAAATACCTGAACCTCCCCATGTGTTAATAAGAAAAACAGCTGCTAAACTACAGCAACTGGGTGGGGAAAAAAAAGGAGATAATTTCATCATTGAAAGATGCAGAGGCCGCTCAAGCTTTTTTAGCCTTTTTGAACCATTCTTGTCCACACAGATGTGGGTAACATGGCTACCAGCAGCCTCATGCACAGGCATCCAGCTTTGTTTTTCAAACTTCCCAAGTCATCTCCTGGATGTGATTGTTGCAGCACTTACTAAGGAATCCTCGTAAAACTGAAAAAGAACAATTCGCAGCTCTTGTGTGGAGCATTCCAGCGATACCCCCAAGAAGCTGAGTGCTGTTTTACAGAGGCAGCACGGGCAGAAGTTGGAGCTGTGCAGCAGCAGAACGGATTAGCCATGTCCTTGCTTGTCCTCAGCCACTGAGCCCCATTATGCTGTAGGATTTGGGCAGCAGTGCTGGTGGCAGCCGTCCAGGCCCTGCTGTTTGGCAGGGCAGTGAGGCGGAGCTGGGAAGGGAAGTGCCACAAACGCGATCCAAAGGTGCCATCTAGTGCCTGCTCGGGACCACAGGGAGAGCAGCCGGCACTGCAGGAGCAACAATGAAGGGAATTTCCAGTTCCCAAGAAAAGACTGAGCGAAGAATTTTGCCCGAGGGAAGTCTGAGAATCTGCAACGTTACAATTGGATTCAGGAACAATTAGGGCAGATGGTTTTTTTATCACCCTTTCTAAGAATTACAGTGCTGTGGTGGTGCAAGTATGCATTTGCAATACAAATAGATTCCACCCATATTTAACACAACAGCTCTAATACAGCACCAGAGAGCTGAGAGGATGCTCCAAGGAAAGCATCACATCCCTTCTGCACAGAGGAGGTGACTGACTGCCTTGCCCACCTCTAAGCACCAGTGTCCTACTGGGCTCCCTGCCATCCCCCAGTGACCTCATGACTCACCTCTCCATGGAATCCTGCAGGGAGGCAATACCAGGAGAGCCACTGTGAACAAGTCCAGGCAATCCTTACAGAGGAGCCCTGCACAGAAGATGGGCTGAAGAGGAAGGTCAAGTCCTGCTTGAATGGGATGAAGAGTTAAAGGGAAGAAACAGGACATTGCAACCCTTCCAAGTGTCCTGGCACAAGGAAACTTGAGCCAACCATAGCTCTCAATCTAGACCCAATTAATTCTGGAGAAAAACAAGCTAATGCACACACTGCTGAAGGACTGATTTGTTTCAAAAAAATTTATTGAAATGTAAAATATTTAATACAAAACAATTCTGGTGCCTCCTCAGAAGAGGAGCTCACCACGTCAGGCATAAAAAAAATAAGAGACCAGCAGGATGTACACAAACTAGGACACAGCTTGTCCATGGCTCCTGGCTCATGTGGACAGCAACAGTCACATCCCCTCTCATAACCCTGAGAAAAAGCCATGAACAGCCAGACTCAAATTGTGGTTAGCAAGGGTGTGGATACTCCTGTTCTCTAAAACACATCTGCCTGGATCTACAGCCTCTGACAGAGCCTTAAAAACGAGGGCTCTGTCAGAGGACAGACTGGCAGATCTGTGTTACGGTAAATTAAAATCCAAACCATCCTCTGGGCAGAGAGAAACATCACAAAACACATCCCTTCCTCTCCCATTCTGCACAAATTTATGGGGCACTAGACACAGCAACAGGTGCAAGGAGACATGTCCCAGTTGCATCTGCATCTTTATAAAGGTCAGATATCAATTTTTCAGGCTGCTGCACTAAAAGGCTATTGGACTTAAGTACTACTTTGTCCTATTGTACTAAAAGGACTCAGGAGATATCCTGGGAATGAGGAATTTTGGTGATTTCTGAAGTGTGGAATGAATGCTGGGGACTGGAACACTGAAAAGAATATATAATACTGAGAATCAAAAGCTGCCATGCTGGGATTTCAAATGACTGCTTCTGGCCATGTGCCCTATCCCTCCAAATCCAGCAACCTCTGTCGAGCTTCCAGAATGATCTCCTCCATCACCTCTGGTTTGAGAATGTCCTTGATCTGCAGCAGAAACAAGAGCAACATTGGCACCAGAAAGCAATTACTATTTTTGCACACTCTGTGGGGACAAATGTCCCTGACAAACAGCAAGGGAGCTCAGAGGATTGTGGTGAAATAAGACCTATGGCAGAGGGTCCAATCCAGAGTCAACTTGGCCAGAATTAACAATTCTTACAGAGACCAGAGGAAATTAAAGGAGATGCTACTGACAACTCTTCCATCTCTCCTGATGGACACGCACCAGTATTTGGGAAGGGGAGAGATGACTTAAACAGAAGTATACTTCAAAACAACATCCCATGTAGCTGAGAGGCTGGCATTGGGAATGAAAGCAGATGACAATTCAGATCCCATTAATTTATGGGAAGAGAATTCCCTGTCATTGTGCTGGCAGAAATCACAGTGAAAAGCTGTACAGTCTGTGGATACAGACACAAGACCTCTCTGTAGAATACATGACACTTGTTTTTTCACTGGTTCTTGAAGAACCATCCCAAATTTAACAGTGTTTTCACAGCAATCACAGGGGACCCAAAATCCCAGTGAGGGATACACAACATCTACTGAAAAATGGACTTATTCCTCTCTTGGAATAGTTGGACATTGCCAGAGGCAGAACCTTTCAAAAACTATCTCTGAAATTGTGCAAGGCAACTTCTGCTACGCAGCGGGGGAGTTTGTATTGTCACTTACCACAGGATGCTTTGGAAAGCCAAAAGGAAGCGCCCACCACTTAAATTACTGACTTCAGCAGCAACCGGTGCAGCCTTTCTGTTCCCTCACCCACTGTGGAACAAACCCCTCTGGTTTCTGTACCTGATGAGGAAGGGATGCTTCATAGCAGTACAGGATGCTGGTGTCAAAGAGCATCATCTTGTGAGTAACCAGAGCCACGATGCAGTTCCGGAGCCGTGAGATCACCTCCCGGTCAGACAAGGGAACCGGCTGAGGAGGGACAGAGGGAAAGGGATGAATGCACAGGGAAATAATGCAGGCTGACTGTAAGAAAGGCTTGCAGTGAACCTAATACCAAATCCTGAATAAAAACCATTGGCAGGAGAAGGTTCACCTTCCCTGAGCCCTCACCTCCAAGTTGGTGGTGAAGCCCCCGGCCTCTTCCTCCTTCTGCTCCGCGGTTGGGTAGATCCAGATGAAGCCGTTGTTGCCAAGGATCACGGAAGCACCGCAGGGCAGGTCATGGAAGTGAGTCTTCTGGCGTTTCACCAGGGAGGGAGAGACCTGAACCAGCACACCCTGGGCAAGCTGGAGAGGAGATGAGACTCAGTGTGAGAGACACGAGCCACCACAGACAACATGAAGTCACCCACACTCACTCCATTCCCAGCCTAGGCACCACTCCATTTTAACACCTTTTCCTGTGAAACAGCGAATGTAAAACCTGCCTGCCTCTGGGAGTGCTGGGGGGATTAGCTAATGCCTGTGCAGTCCTTTGAAGATGAAGAATACTCTAAGTGCTTAGCACAAATGTTAATAATATCTTGATCGCAACTACACATCAACCAGCCCTGCAGAAAAACGAGGAGTGAGAGGCCCAATTTAGCAGAACCCTCTCCCTCTTAATCCAATCACTGTCCTTCACCCTTTGTGCAATAACCACACTTCCCTTTCATCTTTTAAGTGCTAATACCCTTGGTCTGGTAATCCCAAGCTGCAGCCTACGCTCCGATGGCCCCTTGGCTTCTTTCAATGCACAAAACCAGAGATAAATGCCAACTGTGTAAAGCCTGAAATAGAGCCCTGGGGAGAGAAACAAGTTACAGGGGCAATGGCCTGCAGAAGAAGAGCGAGATTTCTCCCCAGGATTTAATTCCCAATGGCTAGCGGGGGAAACAGGACTGGCAAGCTGGAATTGTGGACAGGGAGAGCAGTGGCTCAGAGGGCAACTCAAGGACACCTTGTCTGCTTTGGGAAAACTCTACTTGGTGCTCCCACACAGGAGCTGAGGTTCTTCCTATCCTGCAGGAATCAGTTATAACGACGTCCTGCTCTATTCCAGAGCTCTTTTTTTGGAAAAAGGGCTCATACAAGTCAGCTGGCGCAGAATTAGGCCAAGATCAGGGGCTTTGGAACAACTTACCTTCCCGTATTTCAGGCTCCGGGTGTGCAGTGACACAGCCCCATCAGAAAATATAGACTGGACCTCTGCCTGTCAGTACCACTTAAGGAAAACAAAGTTCCCAAGGTTGCCCAGTGCCACCCCAGCACAGCTGTCACCTCCAGCCAGGCCAGCTGAGCTCTGGCTGTTCTCCCCACGCTCTTGGCTCTTCTGGCAATGGGAGCCAGCAGAAGGATACACTGATGAGGTCCCCTTCCTGCAGGTAATCCCTCATGGCAAGCTCATCTTCTGCTGACCTTCTCCTCTGAAACAACACAAGGAAAGTTATGTGTGGCCCAGAACAAGAAAACATCCATTAATACCTCACTGTGGGGGGGCTTGGGATGCCATGTAGAACACTCTGGTCACCAAAGGGAAGCCAGGCAGAACAGCAAACCTTTAGGTCACTGAGGCATTATAACATGAAGAGTTAGAGATCTCAGAGCTGTGCTCGTGCTAACTGTGGGAAGGGCTCCAGAGCTTCCCAGTGCTCCTGCCATGGAAGCAGCAGCCAGCAGGGCTCCGGCACTGCTCTGCCTCAGCTACACTCACCAGTTCCCCACCGGGTAAATTTATAGACGACAGCAACAGCACTGAATCCAGCCTGGAATTCGTTTCCACTTTCCATCGCTTCTGCTGAACCTGAGCAGGGAAAAAAAAACCAAACATGCTCCTGCACACCCAAAAATTGAACAGGAGCTGCAGCCCACCAAGCCCAGAGGAGGGGACAGCCCTGCTGGTTTTTCCAACCTCATCCCGGTTAAAACCTGTGGCTCCCAGTGCCCTGTGCAGGGACACTGATGTGTATCAGTGTTTTAGGATCCTGGGAAGTGCTCCAGGTTGGATTGAGCCACCCCGGTCAGCGGCCACCCCACTGTAAACGAGTACATCTCCAAACCCTGACATCAGCACCGCGGGAAAAACGGGGCTTTACCTCCGTAATCCTGCCGACCACGATGTCGCCGACCTCGCCGTTGTACCTGTGGAGCGGGACGGGGAGCGGCCGTCACACACCTCAGCCGAGCGAGGCCCAGCCGCCGGCCCTCCCCTGCCACCGCCACCCTCACCTGGCCTTCAGCGCCCTCACACACACCAGCTTGTTCACCCTCTCCACCACGCCGGCCACCGAGGCGATGAGCTTGTCGTCCTCCACATACGTGCCGTGGCCCCTGCGGAGAGAAGTGCGGCTACCTGGGGACCGCCCGAAGCCGCGCAGCGCCGCCGCCGCCCCCCCCGCGCCGCTGCCCGCACCTCATGTATCCCGTGTCCGTGGTGATGGTGTCCCCCGGTGCCACCAGGTGCTTCTCGGCGCCGCGGGGCGCGCTCGCCCCCAGGGGCCCGCGGACCTGCGGCAGCCTCATGGTGACCGCCGCCATCTTGGGCGCGGGCTTGATCCCGCCACAGCGCGGCTTCCGCCCGCCATGTTGGCTGCGGGCGAGAACACGCCTGAGGCGCGGGCGCCGCCATCTTGAGTGAGGGCGGCGGGGGGGAGGGCTCTAGGCATCCATATTTGTTACTGGCAGCAAAGGGACTCGAGGGCTTCGCCCCGTTGGAACGCAAGGGGCAGCGCGGCCATGTTTAGTGAGGGCAGGGCGCCTCGTTCCCCTGGCAGTGACCGGCACCCCAAAAACCCGCCGGGCGAACCGGGGGGCTCCGGGATCCCTCAGACCTTCCCGCGGGGCTCACCGGGCCCCAGCGCCCCGGCTTGGGCTGCAGCCAAGGGTGCGCTCGCCCCGGAGGGAGCAGCTCCCCCGGTTTTGGGGTGCCCGTGCTCACGGAGTGCCCCCCGTGTTTATCTGAAGACACCCCCTAATCCTCTCCCGAGCTGGCTCAGGCTTCGCTTAAACACCCCCGAGGGGCTCGGGATTGCCCCCTTCCCTTGGCAGAGCTGTGCCGGCGGGATGTGATACGTCTGTGGAAAAATTTAATCCGTTTAATTCAAAGCACCAGTCCGGCCCTTGGAGCTGCTGAGGAAATACCCAGAGAAAAGCAGCTCAGCGATGACCATCAGCAAATCAGTTGCATTTTCAGGATCCAAAACAAACCTTCCAGCAAGACCTGCACCTGTGTCCCATCGCAGCTGAAACACGGGCATTAATTCTTGGAAGGTATCAAAGGATGTCAACAGCTGTGGCTTCAAATAGGGACTGTTCAAATAGGGACTGGCAGGGTGGAACTGGACCAATCACCACCCCCTCCAGCACTCACCACTTCTTCCAGACCTCAAAAAGGGCTTCTTTAGCCAAAAAACTCGTTTTTCCTCCTCCCACCTGCACTCCCTGGTCCAAAAGACAATGCCACATCTCACTCACCGATTATTCTGTTAGTTAAGACCTTCACTCATCCCAACCACCACATCCTTCCCCTGGCACATAACAAAATAAAGCTCTCCATGCTATCCCTCTTCTAAATGATAAATGTCCCAAGTAATTTTTATTTAGAGTACAAGAGAGAAGTACAAATGTATTTACACTGTGTACATAAACAATCAAATAATATATAATATCAAAGTTTTGTAAATAATGTTTACATAAATATTTACAGAGTTAAAGTGACGGTTGTTTGTTTTTTTGTTTTCTTTTTCTGGAAGTAAAACACGGCTTGTGAGAACTTTATACATCTTAGACTTATAATTAATATTAGAATACCTTCTTTTAAGCTTTATGATACACAGCCCTCCTTCCGGAGAGTGGGACTCCAGAGGGCGCTTAGAGTTGTCCTTGGGGACAGAGCTGGCCCGGGGATGGGTTTTCTCTGTCCCCAGAGGGCAGTAGCGGTTCCAGCCGAAATGTTCCCGCACGGCTGGGGAAGAGTTGTTCCAAAGGCTGGAACAAACAAACCCGGCAAGGCTCAGGGTCCTCTCAAAACCTGCCTGTGGATGGGCATTCCCAGCTGGCACGGTGTCCCCTCTGCCTACCTGGCATCACTCAGAGTGGTGACAAACCCCAGTGCAAACTGAGGCTGGAGTGGGGCAGGCAAAGGGGGGCTTGAGCAGGGGAAAATGCAACTGTTTGCTATCTCAGGAGGGAAAGGTGTCCCTTGGAAGTAGCCACCAGGGCCAAAGCCACCCCTGGGACAAAGAGGCGTGACTGGGGTGGCCACATCAGGGCTGTGGCAGCCTTCCAAGTGTCTGCTGGGCACTTGCTGGAGCAGAGGAGGAGGAGGGATAAGAACGATTTTTCTTTCCTCCAAATTATCCGTAAAAGCCAGGTGTGACTCATTCAGGCCCAGCTTTTCAGCTGCTCCAGCCCACTGGCAAATCCACGCAGGACATCCCACTGTGTCCCTTCTCCCCTGCCAACCCCAGGGACCAGCAGCCCGCCCTACACCCTGGGGTACGATCCCACACAGTGCAGCTGCACAGCTGGGTGTTCCCCCCACTCACCTGCCAAACCCATGCCCCAAAAACAACCCAGCACCCCATCCAAGACACAAAGCAGCCTCTGCCCCCGCCAGCTCTGCCAAGGGTCAACCCCCACCCAGTCCACTGCATGTCTCAGCATCAGTCCTTGCTGTCCAAAAATGCCGCTGCCGCTCCGGGGCCTTCACAGCACCATGGTGGGGATGTGGTGGGCCAGGGAGGCAGGGTGGGGCACGGGCAGGGCCGGCGAGTGGGCCTGCAGGGAGGCGTTGGGGGGCCGGTGCCGGGCGCTCTTCTGGTGCGCCCGCAGCCCCGCGAGCTGGGAGTAGGCACTTTGGCACACCTGGCACTTGTAGGGCCGCTCCCCCGTGTGCAGGCGGACGTGGTTGCGCAGGGTGGAGGACTGGCTGAAGCGGCGGTTGCAGAAGCGGCACACGAAGGGCTTGTCCAGGGTGTGGATCCGCATGTGGGAGCGCAGGTTGCTGCGGGAGTTGAAGCCGCGGTGGCAGATCACGCAGCGCATGCGCCCGTCGTGCTGGCCCCCGTCTCCACCGCGTGGAAATCCTCTGGGGATGGCAGGGGATGGTCAGGCAAATGCCCTACAGCACAGCAGATCACCCCATCCCCAAGCACCAAGGTGCTGGATGCCCTGGATAACCCCCTGTGCCCCCTCACTGGCTCCCTGCTTGTGGGGACACCCATACCAGGCAGAGAGGGGTCCAGGCTGGCACTTGGGACTTTGGGATGGGGCCAGTGCTGGGAATAGACTCACTCAGATTTGGATAATGGGGAACAATCAAGCTGAGCTGAATGAATCCCTAATAGACGGGCACAAAGAGCAGTTTTCCCCTCCGTGGGCCGCAGCAGAGCTGAAGGGGGCGAGGGCAGGAACCCACAGCCATGCTGTCCAAACCCTGCACTGGTCCCAGCTTCTCCCTCTGCTCTTTTGGGCTCTTACCCACCTCTCTCATATATAGAAAATACAGTCAGAGAGCACAGATGGGATCCACCTCCAAACACGGGGTCCCCAGCAGTGCCTGAGCTCTGCTGTGCCCGCAGAGGAGCATCTCAGGGAACCACCAAGAAAAGCAGAGAGCGAACACCCAGGGAGAGAAAAGCCTCCTGAGGTGGTGATTTGGGGACAGATCCATTAAATGCAGAGTGAGGACATTAAATGCAGAGCTAGGATATCTAACATATCGCATAAGATGTCCCTGGCCTCAAGCCCACCCCATGGCCTCGGAGCTGGGCACAGGGTGAACAGGCAGGATTGATGCACCCATGGCTGTTTCCGATGCTACCTACCATGTTTGTTCTTCTTCTGCTCCTCTTCCAGGCCTGGCACACCAGGAATGCCCAGGAAGGTATTATGGGAGTTCCCATACCAGACCAGCAGCTCTTGGTCTGGAGGAATCATCTAGAAAGAAAGACACAGACAGGGGTGTTTGGAGGGGAGATAAACACCCATCCTCGTGCTGGTCCCTCTGGACCTACCCTGGTGGTACCCCATCTCCTGGGAGACCCTGCTGCCATCTGGGACCTGCCAGTGGTCCCCAGCACCCCCAGGCAGGCACAGCCCTGCCCAGGCTGCAGCACTGGAGGTGATGGCACAGCTCAGCACCACCCACCACGGGCACAAACGTGCTGTGGGGTGTCCTCCAGGCGCAGACACAAACAAAGTGACAGGAAAATATGCAGCAACAGAGCACACAGACAGAGCTGAGGGCTTTGGAGCACAGGACTCAGAGAGCTCAGGGAGATGAGGACAGGATGGCACACTGAGAAATAACCCATTTGTGGAGCCACAAACTGCAGCAAGGCACAAGTGACAGAGACCAAGGCAGAGAGCTGTGACACAGAGCCACAGCCCAGGGCTCCAGCAAAATGTTTCAGCTCTGGACAGAGCCACCAACACCCTCCTGCTGTAGGGCACAGGCAGCATCTCCCACCTGACCCTGCCAGGGCTGATTTTAGAAGGTGGAAATGCAGCTCCATCAGCAAAGAGCTTGCCAGCCAATGGATCAGAAGAGAGCTCAGAGCTGCTCTAGGAGACCATGACTTGGGTGTGAGATGCTGCCTATGTCCCACACCAAAGGCACTGTGCCTGCAATAGCCCAAGGAGATGCACAGGGACAGGGAAGGGGTTTTGCATCACACATGCTCCCATTTTCCTGGCACTTCTTCCCCCATTATGTTACCTGCACTGCCAGGGTGAGTGGCCAGGAAATGCCACTCAGGGCTCCCCGCGTGCAGCAGATGTGGCTGGGAGGGTGGACACTCTCACAGGGCTTCAGACAACACTGACATCAACATCACTTCATTAAAAAATACACATATTTCCCCTTGCAGGTCCCTAGTGTTGAGAACCAAATTTAGGAACGGGAAAGTCCTGACTTTCGGAAGATGGTTTTGCACACGCGGAGTAGTCCAAGAGAAGTATCATCCACATGAAACACAGGTCATAAGTTAGATCACCCAAACACTGAAAAAATGTGCCAAATTTTAAGCATCTGAAAGCAGCAGGAATTTTACTGCATACGTTGTAAGTGTCCATCTGCATAAAGACCTCACTGGGGCTGCAGAGGAGGAATTTGGAAGGCAGTGGAAGCCGATGTCCTTTTATATCCCAAATTGGTGCTGTTTTTTGGTGTCATTTTCCCTTAACAGAAATTTACTTATTTTTAATACAAGCCAAAAAAAATATTGCTGAAAGGATAAAACACTCTGCATGGGTGCATATGTGTGTTTTACTCTACTGAAGCAGCTACACCCACACCAGCAGTGGGTGAGCACCCATGTCCACACACCCCAAAGCCAATTTAAATTGCCCCCCAGGAATGCCATGGCTTTCAGATCAAAGGCCAAAACTCGCTGCCCTCCCTTTATTTTCCAGCAGCAGCATCTTGGTATTGGTGAGAATGAGGGTGGGAAAAACTAATTAGCAAGTAAGAGCAGGAACAGGCAAAACACATTAAAATACTAAAGGCAAATAGCAGAAAAGGCACCAAATAAATCTGATTTTGTGGTGGATAGTCGAGAAAGGCATCTTAAGAGATGTTGTGCTGGAGCCACAGTGCAGCAGAGGCGGGTGCAGAGTGGCAGGGACTGGGCAGCTCACGGTGCCTGCTGGGGAAGGGACACCGTGGGCATGGGCAGGAGGCTGTGCAGGGGGACAGGAGGAGTGTGGCAGTGCCCATGCACAGACACTTGTCCTGCTGAACAGGGCAGCTCTAAATTTGGGTCAGTGTGTGCGTATCCTGCCCAGGACTGGATTGTTCCCACTGGTGTCAGGCTGATGCTGCACCCTCAGTCCAGGGCTTGAGGTGAGGGAGTTGCCAGGAGAGGTGTGGTAGGTGACAAGGGGGATTGCTCCAGTCCAAGGATGCCAAAGACTCCATGTGATTAATGAGCAGAGAGAGAAACAGTAGAGGAAAATCCTCTCTTATTTTTCCTTCTCTTGTTGGGTGCACAAACTCCAGTAGGTTTGAATGAGCGATGTATTTTGGACTGCATGTGTCTGTGTACAGAGGCAGGAATGGGGAGCCCAGGAAAAAGGCAATTCCTTGACCAGCTGTGATCCAGATCCTCACACATTCCATCCTTCCCCTCATCACACTCTCATCCATCCCCTTTTGCTTCTCCTGGCACAGAGGCATCCATGCCAACATGGTGGCAGCAGGAGCACCACCAGATACCTGCCGTGCCTGGGGAGCACTCTGCAGCATGACAGCAGGCAGCCCTCATCCCCACCTTCTCCTCTCCATCACTCAGGGTTCAGCACTCTCAGAATTTCAGTTTTGGTGCTTGTGCCAACGGAATTAAACTCACCCTGCTCAGGTGCTCACTGCTTCAGCCCCAGGAGCAAACCTGCAGATGGACCATGACTAGACAGGGCCTCTACATGCACCTCCACAAATATTGGATCACCCACCCCGTCACCCATGCCTGCACAAGGTGTGAAAACCACAGCTGTATTCCTAATTACACCACAGCTACCTGGAATTATTTCACTCATTTGCATAATTAGGAACAGTAATAAAAAGCAATTAAGCTGCTGTCACAACAGGCACAGCTGCCCACAGGAGTATCAGATCTAAAAACTGAGAGCAGCTGAAGCCTAGGGAGAGGTGTCCAGCGTGGGGAGAGCAGCAGGGAAGCACTTAGGGCTGTTGGTCACAGCACTGCACAGGGAAATGCAGCAGAGCCTGAGGGGCACACAGAACTCTCCCACTGCGGGAGAGAATATACCTGCTCCTCTCCCTACCCACCCCCTTGCCTTCCCACAGCACTACAGCTTCCCCTAACCCAGCCCTGCTGCTGGCTCAGTGCAGGATGGGGCTGTGGTCCTGTGCTGGGGAGCATTTGAGTGTATGCTCCTCTGTAAACCAGTGCAGGAGCTCGAATAGATCCGGGAAGCTGCCCACAGAGCCAGCGGGCACTCGCGCTCCTTCCCGGCAGAGACCCCTCCCAGCTGCGAGTGCTCCCGAGCAGGAGAGACTCTGGACCCGATACTACATGGGGATCAATCTACAGTTCTGGTCTGGGATGAACTGGGAGATGTTCTCTCCTGTGACTCTTTAAGCCAAAGATGCTGCCCAGGACACCTCCCCGAGCCACCACCTTCCTCCACCTGCAACAGCGTCGGGTTATGGGCACACTGCACACAAGCAGGGCTGGTCCTCACTGTCATCCTACTGGAACTGTGGGACATGTATGCACATGGCATCAATAATGCCAGGGAGCCAGACACCCGCCTCCATCCCAGTGTCTCCTGCAGGGAGCTGTGGGTGCCCTCCAGCCTGTGCCATACCTGGGACCCAGTACCTGCTCCTGTGCCAGGCCAGCACTGGCCAGCACTTCATACAGGAGCACACAGGGGAGACAGGCAGGATGAATCCCTTCTCCACAGCCCCACTGAGGAAAGCCCGAGGCACTGAGCTGCTCCCTGCCTGCTCTGTGGCTCCCTACTCTGTGCACAACCAGAGTCCAACACCCAAGTGAAGCTGTGCAGAGTCAGGCACAGCCTGCACTCAGCACCTGGGTTTCACAGAAACCCCAAAACATTCCCCTGCTACAGAGAAGCAGATTCTGCACAAAATCCCATTTTTTCAATAGAGCACCAAACCCCCGTCCCTGCCCAAATCCCCACCTGGGCCAGGATTGCAGCTCTTCTCACACTTCACACCCCAGACAAGCTCAGGCAGTGTTTGTTCTCTCTCTGCTCAGCACAGGTCACTCCCATGAAAGGGGACAGACAGGGGAAGGGAACTTTACTGCTCCCTGAAGCCCATGTGATGGCCACTCCCTGTGGTGCCCACCTCTCCCAGTGGATCTGGATACTAGGAACGGCAAAGCTGCCCTGTGCTTCCACAGACACCCCAACAACAGCCCGAAAAACAAGTGAGGGAGGGACTGTGGGGTGGCGGATCCCTCCACCCTGCCTCCACCCCTGCAGCTGCCAGTCACCCTTCGGCCCCACTTACCTCGATGGCCTTGTAGAAGATGCTGTTCCCGATCTGGACCACCTCCAGGTTCTGCTCCTGCTCGTTCCGTGCACACTTGATGTAGGTCATCCAGCTGCGATGATCCTCCTGGCTGGCGTCGATGAAATACCGCACAGTGCCGTCCTCGTTGAAGACCTGGGAGGGGGAGAGAGCAGTTGGTAGCGATGAGCCCACAGTGGGCTGAGCCCCTCCACCTCCTGCCTCTGGGATAAAGCCCCTGGACAGGGACAAGCTCAGCCCCAAGGCTGTGCTGGCTTTGAGACCCAGTCAATGACCAGGAGACATCCGAACCCTTTCTGCTCACAATCCCGAGCTGTGCATCTGCAGTGGGGCTGAAAAGGCTGCTCTGCTCTGGCATGGCTGGTCCCACCAGCCCCTATGCCCCTGGATAACCCAGCTCCCTGCCCCAATCCCCCTTCTTGGCAGAGCCCCACCAGCAGCTCAGCCACAGAGGAAGGAGCTGTTCCAGCATCCTGCAAGTGCCTGTGGGAGTGGGAGCATCCCTGGGTGGAGGGAGAAGGTGCCTGCCAGGCCTGGAAAGATGCTTTGCAGGGTGGCAAGAAAGGTGAGGCAAGTTTCTATTAAGCAAAAAAATGTAATAATAACTAACAATAATTAAGTGCAAGTCTGAGTGAAACAAACCCCAAAAAAGGAAGAAAACCCTGTCTACTTACTGGGCATTAATGTACAATGTCCTGGCATTTCAGATCCCCCAAATCCCATGGCTTCACTTGGGATTAATCTCACTGGGTCTGGGACAAAGCAGGGGACAGGGCAGACCTGGTTTTGCCCACGGTGCCCAGTGTGAGCAGCAGCCAGTTGTGTGTTCCACCACAACAGGGCAGGGCAGGGTGAGATCTGGCTACTTGGCACACCAGCAGCAGAATTTTGGGGCTCCTCTGAAGGCTGGCTGCACCCTGAGGGCTGAGGAAACCTCATCCTTCTCCTGCCTGAAGGGTTTCCTAAATCCACCTGCCCAGATCTTTGCACGAATGAGGAAACTGAGGCACGGGGAGGGTGTCAGGTGCCACACAAGCACAGGACAGAGCCCCAGCACCCCGGCCCTGCCTCTCCCCGGGCCGGTCCGGGCTGCGCGCACAGGGACTGTCGTTACCTCCCACATGAGGTTGTTGTTCTTGCACAGGTCCACATGCTCGGGGGAGATGACCCTGCCCGTGAACGGCCCCATCTCGGTGCCGGCCTTGATCCAGGTCTTGGAGAAGATGCCGAGCCCTTCGCCGGGGATGGAGCTCTGGGCGATGATCACTTCCGACGGCAGCACCAGGCTGGAGAGCTTCTGCACCTCTGTGAGGGGGGAGAGGGCTCAGAAAAGGACCAGGGAGGGGAGACCAGGGACGGCGGGGACCCCTCCCCATCCCCATCCCAGACCCCGGGGCTGAGCCTTTGAAACGCCCAACCGGGCTCCCACAAAGCGGTACAAGGTTCCCCCGGGGCATTGAGGAGGTACCTGGGAAAAGCATCCCGAGCTGGGCGAGGGAGCGGGGCTGGGAAAGGAGGTTAAATGGTGTCTATTTCGGCCCATCCAGCAATTTGTCATGCTGTTAAAGTGATCTGCATTCATTAAACTCAACTAGAAAGAAATTGCTAATTCTAAATTCATTAGTCCTTTAGGAATGCTGTAGCGGTACATTGTGCCTGAATGGCGCGAGGGCTTGTTTAAAAGGGCCCAGGAATTCCTCTTACAAAATGGGGAGATGAGATGGTTGACATATCGTGAATGGAAATGGAATTAGCCTTCATGGTAAATTAAGAGAGGAACAGAAATCCGAGAGGGGGAAAAGGGAGCCGGGACGCCCCGGCGATGCCGGGGCGAGAGAAAAGATATTGTCCCGGGCGGCTGAATGCGGGGCGGCCCCGGCCCCCCCGGCTCCCCCAGCCCGCGGTTTAAGTGGGAACTTTCTCAGGTCAAGCCCAAGTTAACCAAATGAATTTAAAGCCCTTTTTCCCCAGTCCCACGCCTGGGGAGAGCGGGGCGCCGGGACCGCATCCCACCGCCGGGCACCGGGAGCCCGGCCCGGGGCGGGAAACCGGGGGGACCTGGGTGGGTCCGGGGTGGGGGGTGCAGGGGGTCACTCACCTCCGGAGAAGGACTGAGCCAGGACCTCGGCCGTGAAGGCGGTCTTGGGGCTGCTCTTCTCCTCGAAAAGCTGCTCGCCCAACACGTTTCTCCAGCGGCCGTAGAGGAAGCTGTGCAGGATGTCGGAGGTGATCACCTCGGCCAGCGAGAGCCCCTGAGGCTTCAGCCCGGGCTTGAGGACCAGGGCCTCGGCGGGCAGCACCGAGCCCATCATGGGGGCGAGGCGGCGGGGCCGGACGCGACGGGGCCGGGCACGGCGGGCGGTGGGCGGCGGGCTGGGCTCCGTGCGGCTCGGTGGCTCCCGCCCGGCTATATATGAGCTTCATTGACCCTCCTAATTGGTTATTAATGACCTCCCTGACGTTGGCGGAGAGACTGGGGCTGCCGGAGCGAGGCGAGCCGTCGGAGCCCCCCCCTTCCCATCCCCTCCTTCCCTCCCCTCCCGGGGGTGGGGTGGCTGAAGGGAGGGAGGGACACGGCGAGCACATACACACAACCACGCACAAACACACACACGTATATACATATACACGCACGTACACAAGCACAGGCTCGACCCCCGCAACTCCCGGCCCGGGCAAACCCAAAGCCGGGCACCTGCACCCGAGCACGGCAGAAAAGCAACGAAACGGACAGAAATGCCCTCGCCGGTGTTCCACGGACCGGACGCACCCTCGGGCACGGTCCCGCAGGGGCTCGCTCCCTGCCCGGCCCTCGCGCTCGTTTTGGGGCTCAAACGCGGCGCTTTGGGGCCGTTGAGCACCACAACGAAATCGGCGGCCCCGAGCCCGACAGGCCCGGCTGGTCGGTGGCGTTTGGCCCTCACGGCCCCGGGGAACGGGCCGAGGCTCCCCCAGCTGGTCCCGACCGGCCGCGGCTCCCCGCTGGCCCCCGCACCCCGGGCCGGTACCGGCGGTCCCGGGAGGAGCCGGCGCTGCGCCCCCAAACCCCGGGGAGGATCCCCAAGCACGGAGCGGGGGGTAGGCACTCTCGGGGTTGATCCCCGCTTGACCCCAGGGCCAGGCTCTCCCGGCTGCCACCTCCAGCCCGGCCGGTCCTCAATCCCGCATCCCTATGGGAATTGCGCCCACGGGTGGATCGGGGATCCGCTCGAGGATCCCTCACCTCCCCGCAGTGGTAACCCTGTCCTTCCGTGTCCCCCCAGTGCCGGACCCCGGCCCCGGGGGGAGCTGCAGCACCTCTGGGGCTCTGCTGCTGCAACACCCACATCCCCGCACCCGAAGACATTCCCCGGCCAGACACGGCGCCCATCCCCGCCCCGCCAAGTCCCGGGAGCTCCGTCAGCACCCCTGATCCCCAGGAAGGTGGCACCAGAGCAGTCGCCCCAAATACAGCGCTCCCCTCCCTCCGGGCCCGAGCTTCGCCGGCTCAGCAAAGGGTTAATCTTTCCCGGATTTAAACCCAGTCCTGCTGTGTCGGAGCTTAGAGCCCTCTCCTTAGCCTTGTTCTTTTGATTTTCATGGGGACGAGGGGCTGTAAAGGACTGGGGGAAGAAAGATAGGCCCCCAAATTCCTCAGGCGCTCAAAGGCCGGTTCCTGCGCCCGGGAATCCCGAGAAGCCCCGTCAGGTCTCACCGTGCCCGGAGCAGGAGCAGACACAGCCCAAACCCCCATCCCCTCCCTTGGGTGGGTGTTTTATAGGATGAAGCTGAGGAGCGGCTTCTGCCCTTGGCGAAATGGTGTTGCTACAACCCAGCTGCAATTATTTCTATTAATGCGTTCGAGAAGCAACGCAAATATCAGGAACCCACCCAAACTTGCGCTTACTGAGTGTGTCTGCCCGGCGAGAGGCAGCGCTACCCTAGAAAGGGGAGGTTAACAACCTGCCAGGGGTTGGTTTGGGGTTTAATAAGCGTAAAAACTAAGTTTATTTTTTTCTGGACTTTGGCTAGAGGAGCCGTCTGAATATTCCAGCTTTGCTAAATATAACGCATCAGGTGGAAAGGTTCCCAACACCGGTTCCCTCCGGCCGCCGAGACAAGCCTGTCCTCGGATTGCTTTATTTGTTTTTTTTTTTCCCCCAGGAAAACCCTTCTACCTTCAAGTTATCCCAGGACAAAAAATAATAGATGCTCTTAAACCCCCTGCGGCTCCGGTGCGGGCTGCGCTGAGCCCCGCTCCCGGCTGCGGGGGGCTCGGCGGTGCGAGGGGGAAGTGATGGAAAAAGGTGGAAAAAAAAAAATTCTTCCATTTTCTGCGTGGTTTTAAATATCCCCAGCTGTTTCCCAAAGCTTCTTCCCGCTCCTAGGAAGGTGCTTTGCTGTGTGTCTTTCCCCCCTGCCTCCCCCCCTCCCCTCCTAATTTCTCTTTTTTTTTTTTAATATCGCAGCTATCCCTCCTTTTTAACATTTAAGAGGAAACAAGTTTAATATTCATGGCTGTTAATAGAGAAGGGCCATTATCGCCGCCCCATTGTTCTGAGCCCCGCACAATGCTGCTTGTATTTTCATGTGTATATTCCCAAAGTTCCTTCTGAGCGTTTAGTGAGCACTTTAATATTCATGGGTGTTAATAGAGAAGCCCTCAGTATATTGGCATATTGTTGGGAGGTGTACATATTGGTCTGACTCTGAATAGCCACAGTCCTCTTTTCTTTTGCTCTGTTTTGCAGGGTTGATGGGCCAGGAGTAAATGGGCATTTTTCCCCCCCGTCTCCCCCTTACAGAGAGAACATCTTTATTCCAGTCCCAGACTTTCTGGTTTCCCATTCAGGACCCTCAGAAATAATGTCAGGCAGAAGAAAAGTGGAGCAAATCAATCTTTCATGGTCTTTTTGAGACCAATTTGACATCCATGGACTCTTCTTTTCTTTCACAGCCTACAAGGGGATGGTCAGGATCTGGACAAGGTTGGGGTCTGATGAGGGGAGACATGGGATCATAATGCAGCAAAGAGAGAAAAGAAAAGCAAAACAAGAAAAGATTGCAGGGATGGGGTGATGGAGGAAAAATGAGGGTGAATGACAGTGCAAGAAAGGAGATTAGAGCCCAGCAGCTGCTTTTTGGGGGGCGGGGGGGAGGGGGGAGCTCTCTCCCCTCTTCCAGCCCTTCGCATGAATAGGATTTGAACAGAGCGGAGATTGATTTATAGTTATTGCAGTTGAACATTTATTGCTCTTAAAGAGTGGCGGGGAGAAAAGAGAGAAAAGGGGTTTGAAAAGCTCCTTTCTGTATTAAAGAGGTATCAAATGAAGACTGCTGAGATAATATACAGTGGCCAATGGGAATTTGATTTGCTTTAAAATTTAACTCTTGTGGGGCCGCCGGGGATGGAGCCGGGATGCGGGGATGGAGCGGCCGCTGCCCCGGGCCGGTGCAGCCGCGATTCGTTTCTCAAAGCCCGCAAACAGCCCGGCTTCACCGCCGAGATCTGCGGTGGCTCCTGTGCGGCGGGGAAGGGCTGCAGTGCGGGAGGAGGATTAGTGCTTCGTTAGTGTAGTTTGGTATTATTTTTTAATTTATTTTTTTTTTGTCTGTAGGGAGGTGAAAGCAGGAAAGATGCGGAGCTACGAAATAATCGGCGCAGGGAAGAACCCTCTTCGGAGCTGAGTTTTCCTGCTCTAAAACCGGAGGTTTCTCCTCTCCGGCGGCAGAAACGCGATCGCAGCCGAGTCCCCCCGGGCGCAGAAAGGAGCCCATTGTTCAATGGGGAGAAATACATTTTTAGCGGTGATTGAAAGCTCCCTTCTCGTTTGAACTCTAGAAGAAAGTCCCTGGCAGGGAAGAGCATCCCCCTCCCTCTGCCCCAACATCTGTTTGGAGCAATCCAGGCTCTAGGGCAGAGCCGGGCTCTGCCCCCTCCCAAAGTCATTAAAAAGATATTAGTTGAGCTGAGAAAAGTCCAGCGCAGCCCCCGATCCGAGGTGGAGTGTGTGTGTGTGGGTGGGGGGTGTCATTAAAAACGACTTTGGATTTACCAGCGCTAATACCGGGAGAAGGGGTCCGAGTTCAAAAGCCCGCCGGCCCCGACCACCCCACCGCGCCCTGCCCGGAGCCCCGGAGCCCCGGGCCGGCTCGGGACAGGCCGGACAACCCCATCACCTGCTCCGAGCGCCCCCCGAGCGCCGGGAAAGGGGGACGGCAGAGAGCCGGGAAGGGAGCCGAGGCGGTCAGCTGCTCCAGCCGCATCCCCCGCGCCTCCACGGGCTGCAAAATGCCCCGGGAGCCGGAGGAAAGGGGGGGGCAGGAGGGATCATCGCACCCCTGCGGGAGCCGGGGGAGCCGGGGCAGGAGGGATCATCGCACCCCTGCGGCTGCCGCAGGAGCCAGGCGCCTCCGAAGTTGCTAAATGTGTCATTTATTAAAGCATTCAGGGGGCTTTTCTTTGGCGTTTGCTTGCAAACTCACAAAGGCCGAGCTGCTGTTTGGGGGTCTTTTCTGATGGAAAAAGGGCTCGGAGACCCCCGGCACAAAAGAAATCCTGGCAGTGCTTTCAATGGCCAGGACTCAATGAGGGGGACCCTGTGCGCAGCGGGCGGGGGCGAGGGGCCGCCCGGTGCTGCCTGAAAGGCAGGCCTGAATGTAATGGGGAGATCTGCGTTTATTTGTTGGGATCACATTTAATTAGCTTAGTACAACCCTTGAAAGACAAAGGGACCTCAATCTGGATCCAATCTGAAGCTCGTTTGGAGAGCGAGGGCTCCTGGAAAAGTCAAAAGAGAGAAAGGAGAAAGAAAGGGAAGGCTGGGAGAGAAAGGGGCTGGGGGCCCAGCCAGGTGACTGGCACGCGTGAAACAAGGGGGCCTTTTGGGCACAAGGCAGGGCTCAAAAGGGAGGGAGGAAAATAGCCTCTTCCTCAGGTTTTACCTACTTAAACCCCCTGAAGGGGCTGGAGCTGAAAAGCCTCAATGGGGGCTGAGGAGGCTGCAAAGCAAACAGCAGCACTGGAGAGGGGCTCCGGCCCTGCCGCCGCAGCAGTTGGAAGCACTCGGTTATGGGAATGTGCCCAAATGTTACCTGCACCCGGGAACGCTCCCAGAAGGAGGTGTGGGGGGACAAGGAATGCCCAGGGTGAGCCGGGGCTGGGGGGGCTGGTAGGTCCCTTGCAGGTCCCCATGTTCCCCACATAGGGTGAGACTTCCCCCCTGTGCCTTCACCCCAAGCAGCACCTCTGTCCCATCACTTGTGGGGTTTCATCGTGTGTTGGCAGGGCCACGGCTGGGATGGGGCACTGAGGAGTCCCCGTGGGTGCACC